TCAAGTACACTTCATGCTATTATGTGTCCCGATCAACAAGTAATTGGTGAATAACAGCATAGCTCGAGCAATCAAGATTCCTCGTACGCCGCCTAGAGTGTACCATATTCATCCAAATAATTCCAAACAAATATCCACTAGCGTCTTTCATATATTCCCTCGCACCTCTACTCTGATACATAATATTACTTGCTTAATAAATATGTACAATCCATCAATACATACCGCTCGCTAGCTGATCCACTCACAGCCCAAACCCGAACCCAAGTAGACCTTCGAATACCAACTATGTGAATTTTCAGATATACAAACAAACTTAGTAAAACCCATTACCATGGTCAATTCTCATCAGAACATGTTCGCTAAACTTCTCAAAAGAGTTAAATAGTTTAGTAAATCGATTACTGGTCTTTCTGTTGCGTTATTGTATATCTAATCGATACCTAAGTAGTAGTGTGGTTGGTATACTATCTATCAGTTAGTATATTTACTAGCTTGGGTGTTATCCCAGAAACCTAGTCGAACGAAGGATTATGATAGCTATGCTATGAGAAAGGGGATACGTACGTACCTACCTATAAGATATACAACGAAACTTCGTCGGGCCATCAAGTTCTCGCAAATATGCGGACGTAGCGTACCGACCAGACTGATGAGTAGGTGATTGAATATACAGATTGAGTCTACAGGTAATATTCATTCATGAGAAGTATTGGTTCAGAGGGGGAATATGAAGAATGGAAAGAAGTAAATATATATATATATATGATATTCTCATCTGGGATATTCCTCATTTCGAAAACTGAGATGAGAATTATGTAGACTTCCAAACCTGGACTCGAAGGGATATGCAATATAGTCGTGTATTAACGTATCCGTGTGATCCAAATTGACTGCATGACTGATGACTTAGAGTCGATTAGACGTTTCAGACATGCAACTGAAGTGACGTAACCTGACTGGGCTATCGTCTGAAGGGTTCTAGTATTTTATATCCTAGAGGATCGGAGAACGACAAATATACTATAATTCTTTCATGAAAAAAAAAGACGATTCTTCATCACGGAGATAACATACTTCTTTCAAAAGAAAGACGACCTCAGCCAATTACTACTAAACAGTTATCCTGATAGCTACGCAGCCTCAGATAAAATTCACCACAACTCACACAAATAATAGCCATGAACAGGTGTATCTCATACCCTCCTCTAGTCTATCACTTATAAGTGAGTCAAGACAAAAGCAGGTGATCATTCGCTCATACCCCCTCACGTAAGAGTTCAGGGGCTGGAAAGAGGGTTATATAAGACTCCCCAATTCTCAAATTCACCCTATCCATCAACTTACAGATGCGTCGAGTGCAGGATAAAATTTACTTTTCCAAAGTTTGACAAATTAACAAGTACGTGTGTGTGTATAGTCTCGTAATTTGATTTCATAATCGAATCTCTCATTTTTTTCCCTCGGACTCTACGAACTCATCTTAACTCTTCAGCATAATGCCCATTCTATATGACAGTGTAAATCGGACTACAACGACAACACAAAATAAAACATCAGCGTAGAACAGCAACCTGGACATTGATCCTCAAGACCAAGATCTCGCGCCCACTTTGATCCCATCAAAAACCTGACTATACCAACTTAGGTACCCACCAATACATATCAGACACACAAAATCCGACTCGCCTCCCACATGATGTTGCACAGAAGTCAGCTTGGTATCCATAGTCCGCCATCACAAGAGCCTCACACACTATATAAAGCTTGAGAAAGAGGTAGAACTCCCTCATGACGCATTCCCCCCTCACCACCCAAAGAAAGGACCATGTGCCCAGACTATTATACCTCTCAAAAAGTGAATTAAACTCTTCACCTCACGCTCCTACTCTACCCACATACTTAAGTAACCTACGAATAAGAAAGTGACCGAGCCCGCAAAGCTGCGGACGCAAAACATCCACGAATAATCCTCAATCAATCAACAAATCCATGATTCATCAAAAAATTCCCCAAAAATTATTCGTTCTAATAAACACACTATTCTCGTACTCATCTTGAATATAACATATGATGAATACGATGAGATTAAATTCGCACATACATATGGTACATTCAACTTTCCCGTAGATGATATTTTATGAAACACTCGAGTTGAACACCCTCAACCCCCCTCAATACAGCAAGGGTTTCCCACTCCATCTCCATCCGCCTACTCAAAATCAAGCTCTACCCCCTTCCTTTTCTAATACCTCCTACCGCCAACTCTCCAACTGCACGCACAAATTCGAAGAGAAACACAAACACAAACACAAGCACAAGCACACATACATATTCAGCATCTAGCATCTAGCATTCCACCCACCAACACACCAGAAATGGAAAGGAGCTAGAATTCAAAAGATTCAACATTTCCCATTTCCCATTCAACTAAGAAAAAAAAAAGAAAACGAAAAACGCCTTCCCCAATGCGCCCTCACTTCTATATAGTGTTTAACCATGCAATCTCTCTTCAGAGGTACGCTTGACAATGCCTGCCTGCCTGCTTGTCTGCCTATCCCCAAAATACAACACAACTTAAATCAATAATTCCATACAGCAACAAATTTAATCCTTCTTTCCCCCCTTAACACCTCTCCCTCTCACTGCACCCTCTAAATCTTCTCTCCCAGAAGTTCCGCTTCTATTTAATGAACTATTCCTCAATTTACCCGGCGAAAGCTCAAAGCCCCTACCGTCATCACTGCCAGTCCCATCTAACAATTCTATAAGATCACCAGGTCCATCCGTCGATGTACCGCCTCCATTTGGTGTCCCCGGATTTTTGACAGCCAATCTTCTAACCCAACCTTCAATCGCCGCTGCTGCGTTTTCTAGACCAATTCCAGAGCCCCCCAAATTACTAGGCGTAACCGATCCGCTTGCAGGACTATATGACCCTTCAGCAATACTTGCGAGTTCATCTCTGAATCCAAAAGGGATTTCGGATTCGAGAATTGAGGAAGAAGGTAGAGAATCGATTGTGATTCCGGGTATATGTTTTCTCGCCCATGTATTTAAGGGATCCTGTCCAGGTCCAGGAGTCGTGACACTCTTCCCCAACGTTCCTACGCCGCCAGGTCCCCGAAGCCATCCTAGTCGATCCGCGGCTTCACCTACACTTTCTCGACGGGACCGGTTAGCCGATCCAATCGGAGGGAAATAGCTTCCGCCGGTAGGTTGAGAAGGTCGAGGTCCCAAATTACTCGGTCTTCGAGAAGTCGTGCTTGCAGGGCTACTAACTTGTTCGCCTGAAGACCCGCGCGGAAGGTCATAAGAGGCACGAGGGGTAGATGTGATAGAATTTGTAGCCTGACTCTTTCTTCGCCGTGGGGGGAAATACCCGAGGGTTCTCCTAGGCATACGTGCAATTTCAACTGGCTTAGAATTTGGAGATGAATCAAGTAGAACCCATCGTACATGTTCCCATGGATTTTCTTCCGGTCGCTCTGTCGGTGTCTCCGATCTGGGTGGCCATACTTCTGGGGCATCCTCCAAACTCGGCGTTGGAGCAAGTAAATCAATCCCTTGGCTCAGAACCTGAGATGGGTCACAAGGACGCCCTTTGATTGCACAAGCATCTACTGGTAGTACAACCACTTGTCGAGTTTGTATAGAGTCGTTTGGCCAAAATCTATTGGCTTTTCGAAATACCATAGGCTGACAATTATATCGTAATATAACTCCCGCAAGCGTATCCTCTTTTTGCACATGGTGTATATAGACCAGCGCATCACCCTCGTCATCTTGTGTTCTAGTTGTAGCCTCATCCATGGACGTCCTCCGTTTGTAATTTCCATTTGTATCAATTGCCCCATTTAGATCCGTGTGATTTTCGAGAAGTCTCGTCATTCTTTGTGTCCGTAAAGCTGCATCTCTTTCCGACTGACTCCCCGAGCCAATAACAGCTTCATTCCTCTTCTTTTGTTCTGCGGGTCCCCATGCACCATGAGGTAGCTCAAACAACTTCTTCACGGAGCTATCTTTCCTTCTAGCTTTGGGTCTATCCAAGCTGACTGTTTTCCTCGCACTACCTTCACCCTCATCTGTTACTAAATCCCCCAAATCACCTAGCACCGAACTCGCAAGTCCCTGTAATGTACTCCAAGAATTCGACCACCCACTACCCCATGCTCCAGCATTCCCTGGTCCAATTTTCTGGTCTCCTCTCCCCACCGCAGATGTTCCTAAAGCACTTTCGGCGGATTGAGCGCCATTATCGCCTACCCTCCTTGAAGGATGTCTTGAAGGGATTGGGCTTACTCCTCTGGCACTTCCACCAGGACTGCTCCCCCTACTGCTTGTTGTGCTCACCAATTCTTGTTCAGTACTAATCAGTCTTCTATTTCTCGGTCGTATCGTAGAGGAGGTTGCTGCACTGGAATCGCTGAATCGTGTTTCGTTGTCACTATATAATCGCGATTGCTTCGAGGTTATCGCGGCTGTTCGTGACGATTGTGACATGGTTGTTTCGCGGGCCGTCCGCACTGGACACTTGCGTTCATGAGAGCATTCGTCGTTTTTGATTAAATTTGTTTGCGATCATTCGATCACTCAATTACTAGGCGTCGAATTGTAGTGGAAATTACTCGTGTCAGTCATGAAGTACACTTGGCTTCCTTGGGGATAATAGTCGCGGGAACGGACGTTCCAGATTATACTACTAAGTTTGGGCTACCGTGTTCGTCATCCGTAGTAGCATTTATAGTGTATTTATTATGTATCGGAACGCAGGGCACGTGGGGAATCCGCATTTAAGACACAATACCCACCACAAAGACTTTCCCGAGATTTGGTTGTAATTTCTTATATTTTGATTATTTGCTGGGAATGTTTGATTTTGTGTGTTACTAGTATCAAAATAATGTATTTCTGAGACATTGACTTCGATAAGTTTCATTCCCTGTCCATTACGTGGGTTCTAGAAGGCTTATAATACAGCAGCATGAGCTACACCTACACGCTCCATGACTATTTTTTAAGTACTCGAGGAAAGAGCTCATCGAGAACCACGCCAAGCAAGTCTTTGCTCATAAGTAGTAACCGGCCGGTTTCCTTTTCCATATCCAAATCCTTCCAAGAAGAATCAAGCGAGTGGGACATCGCCATTCATACCAGTTAAATCCCCGTTAATTCCAAAAAATTGAAACCTAAATATCACTATGTCAGTACACTAACCGAGACTTGCACGGTTTAGTATAGTAGACTTACCAATCTTCAACATTTAAAGTTGTAGGAACCGCTTGTGCAGAACTATTACTCCAGGTATCACTAGGACTTTGGCCTTGAGGCTCATGCATTGGCTGCTCAAAGCCTTGCTGCCACATACCTTGGCCCATATTATAATTAGGAGGAACTCCAGTTGGAAGCATTCCACCGCCTTGTATTGGACTACCACTCATTCCAGGTTGGCCTCGTTGCATGCGTTGAGGCAATTGATTTGATTGATTCTGATTTGGGATTGGGGCTGAGGTGCACCTAAATGAGGCATGAGATTTGGATCAAGGTTGGGATGACTTGGTGGGGAGAATTGAATGTTATTCAAACTAGGACCACCTTCAGGGAACAACTGATCTGGTTGAAAGTTTTCCCAGAGAGATTGTGATATGTTTGGGGAGTTTCTAGTAACAAGATAGAGATCCGGGGGCGTAGCCGGGACGGAGTATGAGGGGTTGAAAGGTGTGGGCGGACGTGTATGAGGACGAGAATTAGAACCTCCCATAAAGGTATCTCGATTCTGACGCTGATTTGGTGATGTAATAGGTGGTGGCGCAGGCATCGATGATGAATTATAACCTTGACTTGGTGTTTGTGGTCTGGACCTCTCGTACGATTCCTGTGGCGCAGGTCCACTACCCACAGCAAAATCCAGTGACATATCGTCATATTTTCTCTTTTGTGATTCATTCTTAGCGTGATTAAGGCCCTCGCTAATGCTCTGTACCATACGTTTATGTCGTTTTCCAGCAGCTTTCTGGAGACGTTCCTCAAGAACCTTATTTCCCAAGATGGACTCAAATAGTGTGTAAACCATCTTAGCCACGAGCCAAACTCTTGATACATCCTTCAAGCCATTCATACAGACTCGCATTCGCTCCTGGGTAGCTGCAACGATGGATGGCACTGAGGATCGCATTTGATAAACATGCATAATCAATGCAGAGAATAAACTGTACACGATAAATGCTGGACAGTATCGAAGCTCATCATGTGCCGATAAGTTCTCAATGATGGAGGTAATCATTCCTGCAGCTTGAAATGCGATAGTTCGAGATGGATATACATTTTCCTCATAATTACCTCTCTGTGTAGTAGCGGGTGGCATATGCGCTCTATGTAACAAGCAGAGTGTTGTATAGTAATTTGAATGTAATAAGGCTGCCCAAAATTGATGTCGAGGCATTTCCCAATATACCTCCTTAGGACAATGAGACAACCAATCTGCCAATGCCATATCACTGTGGGTGAGGTCGATCGCATTTTGCCGTCGAGCTTTTGAAGCTACGCTATACTGCTGTGAGAGAACCAATCCCATAATTTCGCAAAGCTTCACATATTGAAGGAAAAATTGGACATGCACAGGATCTTGGACGAATTCGGCGGGGTGATCGGTCTCATCTTCGACGAAATCATCCTCACTAACCATCTCCACATCGGAGTCATCGGTATTTATATGCACAGGGCGGCCAAGAGCAACGGCAACCGATCGGTCACGGGTAAATAGCGTCCACCAGATTCGCTTCCAGAGCCTCTTGTCGGCTTTGCTGAGCGCAGAACCTTCAACGCTCCTATGCATGCCTGAACCTTGTGCTACAATTGTCGCAACCCTGCTCCAATAAAATACGTTCTTCGTTACATCTTCTGGTCCCTCCCAATACCATCCCATCAAGACCAAAGCTTGTACAATAGTAACTCTATCATCTTCATAGTTCGCGTCGTAAAGTGCTTTCGCACGCTTGTAAAATGTCAAGGCAGCGGGAGTCGTAGATCCATTAGCATCCATTAATTGGGGATTTGTACAGACCCTGGATCCAGCCAGGAGGATAGCCTGCAGTAGTAAAAGCGAAGGAGGATTTTTCGCATCGCGATATTGCCTCATGAATCTGTTCCGATTGATTACAGGTACAATTGGAGCAACCCATTTGAAATATGCATCTACCAGTTCATCACAAAGAGACCTAGGAGGGAGCAAAAATGCTCCCCGTTGATGTAGGATATCAATTTCCACATTATCCAATTCCGTCAGCCTCGCCCTAGATCCTCTAATATTCTCTGGTAAAGGATAATGTACAACATCCGCGTTGCCATGTCGGTCGTGTACGAGGAGTGTCAAATTCGACGATTCTCCTAGATATGCTACTCTTCCTGCCTCCTTTATGGGCGCTCTGGTGAATTTAGGCTTCATAAATTGAGCGTAGGTAGTTTCGTCACTATCCCGCTGACGAGCCTGAGCTTCAGTGAGAGAAGTCGTAGGTGTTCCATCTTGAGTGTTATAGCCGATCGAGGTCCTGGTAGTTTGGGTACTTGGGGAATCATTGTTCTGAGGTGATCGTTCGTCAATTGTTTCTCCTCGGTCGCTACCCTCGTCAGCTGCAAGCCCTTCAGAGACCCGAGGTAATTTATACCTATCAGAATCTTTGTTTTTGTTATTTGTCTTCTTGCGTTTCGGCGTTGGGATCTTGCATTCTATGGAGAAGGCGACGCAATTCGTGCAAGGCACCCCTAGACTCGCAGCATCACATCGTACCTATCGACCCATTAATACATACTCGAAGCTGCACGACAATGCGACGGCGCAATAATTTTGCGTAACATTACCTTTCGAGCGTGGCATGTCTACAAATTGTTGTTAGCAAATGTTTGTTGATATTCCAAATTCCTCCACAATCACAATCACAATCTGGTCCTCGGACCGAGGCATCAAATTGGATGGATAAGAAATGGAACGATATTTACATACTTGGCAAGCTCGTGAAGCTCGTTGTCTTCATCCCCAAATTGTCAGCGCATTCGTGATATCGGAGAATACATTCCATCATACCTTCTAAATGAAGCATGTCCCGGAAGCTGCGAGCTAGGTGCAGCATTTGAACCAGCAGGAGCTTGACTACTCATTTGAGGCGCTGGAGCAGAATATTGGTTCGAGGAACCTGAACCATCTGCGGATATTTCGTTTGAGGCCATAGTAGCCGGTATTTTCTAATGCTCTTTGATCATGCGAATTAATAATTGCCTATCAATTTCCCCAATGGTATTGTCGCCGGATTGAATTGAATAGCTGGGGAAAAGAGTGCGTGAGGTGTTGGTGGAAAGTTGGATGATTGTGAAATTGGATTGAATTGGATTGAATTGAATTGATAAATCTGGGCTTCTCGGTACGGGGGCTATTTTTACAGATTTTCGGGACTTGAGTAGAGAGAGGGTCAAGAGAGGGTACTGCAAAGTGTAAAACTGCCTACAAGAAGAAGGTCATGGTTGGTCATGTGGGGTTAAATTGCCCAGTGGAATCGATTTTAAGGTACGAACCATGATCTGCGAAAAAAAGTATGGATCTATCCTCTCCGTTTTCCGTCTTCCGTTTGCGCTGTGAAATTCATTCAATGGGATTCGTTCGATTCGATTGAATATAACAACAATTCTTTCTTATGTGGTCTTTGTCAAGGTCAGCGCGATATGTTGTTCTGATGTATAATCATCAAATATCCATAGCACCATCATGTTGTTATGTGTTGCACATGTCATGCACTACATACATCCAGAGCATAGCCAGCCACCACTCTCTCCTCAAGGCGGGTTGGATACAATACTGAGATTGATTAGCCTACTAGCTATTCCAAATAAGGTTCCTCGGACTCGATGTGAAAAAAGAAAACACGCGACACTTCTTTGCTCCACTCATTCTACGCACATCATCGTTGATAGTTGATAGTAGATAGTAGATAGAGTGAAAACGCTCGACCTCGAAGCCCTGTGGAATCTTCTACACATGATGATGAAATTGTAAATCACTTATGCAGAATATATTAGCCGCGCAGAGAAAGTCCCTTTTCTCGTCTAGCGATTTCAATATATCATTATACATCTCATATCAATTGCACAATTAGCAACACTTTTACTTTTATCTTTTTGCTGCTATTATTACTAGGTACTATTAAATACTACAAAATGTTCGATATCAATCTGAATCATCTAATGTGATATTTCATCCAATTTGAATTTCAATTCCAATTCCAATTCCAATTCCAATTCCCAATACCAATACCGCTCCAAGTATCCATCTAACATCAACACCCATCCTCCTCCACAAACGCCAAATCATTACCCCTCTAGCTAATTACTTTCGCTTCCCTTATTAAACTAGTAACATCTCCCCATACTTCATACTTCCTTCCCACTTCCCACTTCCCACTTCACACACCATCCAACCCACCACGCACTAACTCCAGACCCGCCCGATACATCCATCACTTCCCTACCCCTAACCACCCATCACTAGCCACCTACCCAGTAACCACGAATACTTCCCGGAACACATCCTCCATCCATCCCCTCACCCCGTCCACTTACCCCATCACCCCGCAATTCCTCATGTGGCATATGCACCCCAGATAGTACCCGTGCTATTGTTCAACCCCAGTATTCACCAATACAATACGATATGTGTAAGCTTGAGCTGATTAGTCTCCGGTGAAATGTAGGATCATCAGCTAGAGAAGAGCCTCGGTACGTTCTTGAACAACCCCATGTGATATTGGGTTTTTATTCACCATTGTTCATCCATATCACTTTCATCTACATGCTCTCATGATTCCCATCCAAATACATCATGATCCTCTTATAATCATTACAATATATACATATATTTTCCCTCTTTATCCATATCGTTAACCACTTTTAAGTACTTTTGTCTTTTCCATTCCCATTCACACCGGTCTTACCCATCTCATTTTCACTCCCTTCCTTCTTCCCCTTCACATTCTTAACTATTCCCCCAAGCTCCCGCTCCTTCCCCATCTGACTCGAATGATCCTCCACCTCCACCCCCGCAATAAACAGCTCACTAACCCCCTCCAAACTAGCCACGAAAAGACAAAGCAAGCTTGCAATAATAAAATGACTAATCGTCGAGCCAATCTCCAGCCATGACCCTTCATCCTTAACCACCCAGAAGAAATGCAAGGTCAAGAAATCGCTAATAGCAATTACTACCATAAACAAGGCTGAGGGCGCGACGCCTAGTCTCTTGTTCAAGATACCCAAGTTCGCTGAGATCAATGCAAATGGAATCATAAGCTTCACAATCAACAACGCTCCTTGGGAGAAAGGATCAAAGACTGGGATTAGACGATTCACACTTTCCAGACTGAACGATGAGACAGATGCCATATTTCCTGTGCTGAAAAATGCAGACTGTAAAAGTATGAGGAAAAATAGAGATATCCGTGCGTCAGTCAATGTGAGAGAGCGGAATGGAGAAGAGGATAATGAGGTAGGGACTTCTGGAACTGGAGCACCATTCGCCTTGACTTTTGTTGTTTTACTGGAAGTGTATTTGTGGATGCCATGTTCCAATAGAACCCAGGTGATGAGAGTGGCAGAAAATGCTAAGTAGAAAAGTCCTTCGTAAGAGATGGTGAGAATTACGAAGAGTGGTGCAAATGTGAGAAATACAATCATCAATCGGTGTAGATAATGGTTGTTGGGCTGTAGACGGTGCAAAAAGGGCATTATCAGAGACGCCACTTTATTCATGTTAGCTTTCCTCATATCATCCAGGTGTTCGTCAACTTACCAATCAAGCACCAACCAACTATCTGGTTTCCTCGAGGAAGCCCCGTTCTTGCCTGTAAGGACATTGCAGTAGATCTCGTAACAAGCATTGATAGGACAATCAAACCGATCTATTTGAAAGGTCAGAATTTAATGATTTCTGGTGATGGATGGAGTTTCTCACCTGTGCTCCAATAAGTGTGCGGGATAGAAGATTTTCGGCTGGCGCAATAGAATCTCCCGTCATCTTGGATTTTGCGAGTAGCTTCTTTTCAAAAGCAAGATACAAAACACCTACCACTACCATCAAAGCACCACCATACAAACTATTCACTCGATTAGCTAGAAACCTGATTGTTCCAGAAAGTGATAACCTACATAAGGTCTATATCTTCCACTTTCATTGCAGGAAGTAAAGTGAAGGTGCTCATTCCCAAACAGGACACAGCCCATGTTAATGTTAATGCTTTGTTTTCTTTCAAGAATCCCAAGCCATAGAATGCCGGCCAGAAGGTTGCGCCGACGAACAAAGCAGAGAAGATCTCTCTGTGGGTGTAACCCCATGCCTGTAGATGTTATTGAATGACCAATCGTAGAATGTACATATTGACTTACGAGTGATTCTATGACACCCAAGAAGATGATGGTTTTGATAAATGTTCCAATGTAAGCCATTGGTGACTTGACATGTCCAAATAGTGCTTTTCCACCCTCAACGAGTGCATTTCGGCGGGCGTATACTTCTTCCCAGAACGCCACCGGGAAAATAGCATAAGCGTAATATGTTACAGGTGATTCAGAAACAATAAAGGAAGCAAAAAGTGCAACAAGAATTGAAGAGAAGAAAAGACTTCCCGCTAAAGTTCTAGAAGTCTCAGCTTTACCATGAAGAACATGAAGATCAATGACGGTAGTGAGGGCAAATGTGATCCACCCTAAATAGCCTATTGTAATGAGGGCTCTCAGAAAGAGCCAATCGTATGTTTGAAGATATCGAAGACCAGCCAAACCAAGTCTCACAAGTTCTGCAATCTCGCGAATTGCTTCTTCATGTTGTCCTCGATCAATCAGATTTCTGATATCAGCTAATCGATGCTCGGCCGTATGATTCTTGTCTCCGAGACCCTCAAATGGTCGATATCTCAACTCAGTGGCTTTCTTGTGCTCCTCTTTGACTCGATACATGTCAAGAATACCTCTAGCATTAGCCAGGAAAGCTTCAGATTTTTCGGGAATATCCGCTGCTAGATACGATAGGGGTAATTCTCCCACAGAATTCACTGGGAAGTTAACGCCAGCCAAATATGCCATAAGAGCTGCAACATCTGCTTGTGAAACATCATGTCGATGAATATGGTCCATACCCCAATCTGAGGATAGCTCGTCATGCCCTGGCGCAATTCCGTGGGCCTGTACGATAGGCTTCGCGACTCCAGATCCCCATGCAATCAGGGGAGTGCGTGTGTTGTCTGGGTGCCCATCGCCGTGACTTCCATAATCACTCATTCCATGATCGGCTGTAAAGACAAAAGCGGTCTTGTCATCATTGTAGAAATCTTCGATGACCTTTGTTACTTCCTTAATACCTTCATCCACAACTTTGATGTTATATAGATATTCTTTCGAGTATGGGCGGAAACCATGACCTGTAGTATCCAAGCCAAGGAGATGTAGAAAGAACACATTTTTGTCTTTTCTCAATGCGGCGTTTAAAGTAGCATTCGTAGCAGCTTCTGCAAAAAGAGCCTTGACTCTATCGAATACCCAGATATCCAAATGTATAGCTGCCTTTGAAAAGTCCTCCTCCTCAGCAGAATATGTATATGCATCGACACGACCTGGCACAGCGCCCAATTGGAACATTGGCAAGATATCTGGACTTCCCCATGACCAAGTATGTCTACTTCTATTGAAAACGCTGTCGAAGTTCACTGGGTTGAGTTTCCATCCAGTAGCAACTGCCGATACATCTTCGTACATGCCCGCAATAAGCGCAACATGTCCTGGGCGGGATTCTGTAGGAACTCGAGTATGGGAGACACCGAAAGTACCATGTCCAAGGACCCGCGAGCGAAGGAATGGCGCAAGAGGCCGCGGAACGAGATCTTCTTCTAATTTTGGGTATGGTTCTGGAAATGATTGGAAAGCTTTATCTGCTCGGAGACCATCGCCTGCAGATTCAAAGTATCAGTCAATTGCATCCAGACACAGTTGCCAAAGAAGAAAACAGGATAACATACCTACAAAAAGCACCAAACGCTTTGCTGGAGCTTCCACTCCATCTGGCCTCTCTACCCCGAATTCGCGCATCCCAGATACGATGGGACTCACAAAATAAATATCAAAAATTGAATAAATATACACCAGATGGAAAGCCATCGCAATGGCCAAAAAGCCAAAACGATTAACTCTAG